TTCAGAAACAAATGTGTTGTTAAATCGATGACAAATTGCATAAAAATGAAAAAATTTGAAAATTGACGTATTTTCTGATCTCTCTGTGTATTTCAGAATTTTAAAACAATACTCATTTTGTTGCAGGGATGACAACAGGTTTTTATGGATAAACTGTTGCATCATTCTGAAAGACACCCAAAATCAGGGGCCAAAAAGGGATCACACTCTATCTTCTTCTACCGGTAAGTGGCCTTCGTCAATACCACCATGTGTGCGCATGTTTGAAAATAAAAAAAAGTAACAATTGTGATAGTAAAATTACAGTTGAGTTTAAAAAAATAAAATGATTTGGCTGGTGGCTCTTGACAGAGGCGAGCATTGAAACAGTCAAGACTCGGAGCCATCACGGTAGAGGTGGGTAGGGCATTCAACTCCAGGATCGTTGAAATCCCTTATTATTAAGCTGTGTTTTATGGATAAATGTCATACAATTGATCTCTTAAGTTTTCTTTTGCTATATTTAGCTAGTTATGAGGGGGTTAATAATAAATTTATCATTACAACAGTAACTTTATCCGAAGAGCCGTATCACGACAGGCGCGGATCATCAGATCGCGGATCATCGCGTCCCGTTTGATCTGATGATCCGCGCCTATCAACTCGACATGATACGACCCTTCGGATAAAGTTACTGTTATAATAATATAAATTTATCAATCAACGGACGTCTCGGGTAACCCAAGGCATACTATCCTCAGTTTTGCTAGATGGAATATGCTCTTTAATAATACTTCCTTCTAGAGAGTGTTGAAAATAATTCAATTTTGTCTTTCTGTACCATGGTATTTTACGAGTTGTTACGCATTGTTGTAATCTAGTACAATGTATGACGTCTAGATCTATAAACACTAATTCTTAATCTAAATTATCGTGCATCGTCTCCACCCTGTTGACAATGGATGGATAGTTGGTCACCATTAAATCACGTATGTTTGTTCCTTTTGTTGGATTAACGGCCATCTGAGATAGTCCTAGGCCATCAAAAGTCTCTAAGAATTTATCATGTATCCTCATATACTGAGTTCAAGTTTTGGTGCTTTTTGTTTCCATATTTAGAAGACTGAAGTCCCATGCTGTTTTTATAATTTCATTATTTACCCTGCTTTCCATACTTGTGTAGTAACTTAGGAAGCCGTCTTCAATACTAGTTTTTGGATTTAGAAACTGGATAAGTAGATTGTACGATGACCAGCCAGGTTTAGTTTGCATCACACGGTTTGACACTATGTTTCGAATTCAGGCACCGACGAGGTGAGATCACTTTTAACTTCTATAATTACACCTCCTCCACCAAGATTTCTGTCTTTGTGGTAGGTAGTGAAGCCTATCGGGAGAAATTGTGTATCCTTAACAGAGTGGTCAATCCATGTTTCCGTTCCAAAGATTGATCCAAAGTGGGGATAAGTGCTTTCATTGAGATTAAGTAATTCACCTTGTTTTGTTTTAACGGACTGAAATTAGACATTCAAGAGTCTTCAATTTTTCTTATATTTTCCTTTTCTATGACTATAATTGTCTCTTTCTTGGGTAGGGGTGTGTAGTGGGCGCATGGTTGGATCGCTGCCCGGGCTGTCAGGTAAGTCTCCAAGAACCCAAGAACACTAAAGTTGTTGCCAGTACTGAAGACCATAGAAAAAAGAAAAAGTTAAAAAATTTGGACACCCACACATGATGCAGTCCCAGGCTAAGGCTGAGCAATTTACGTGACGGTGGTACGACCCTGATGTCATTGACTGGCATGCCCTGTAGTACCATTGCTTACATGTATCACAGACTATACCATGTTGGCTCCAGTCAACCGTTTGGTCACATGTTCCACATGCCTGATGATGGGTGCCTCACTGACATTATAAGTACATGTAGGTCCTGGATTTAGTGCAATATCATTTGAAAGTAGTAATAAGATAAACGAAATAAAATGCATACCTTCAGCTGAACGTTTATCTTTTACTTCGATGCTTTGAAGAAGCACGTGAACCATTCCTGATGCCATTGTTGATTTATAACCTCTGGTGTATATCTCTTTGGGTTTGCATATTCACCTGACATCAGGATTAGAAACGGCACCAAGGAAACTATCGAAACTATCCTACTTGCAAGTAATGCTAAGTTGTTTACATTTCGAATTTCCCTCGCACCTGGTATGATTAAAGTCTATATAAAGATATTCATAAAGATTTTTTTTAGAAATCACTTACGTACACAAAATACTTAATTTATGCGCCATACCCATCAATCCATATTCTAATGCAATTGTTTTGTAAAAAAAAGTTTTAATTGGCTAATGCACTGCTGTTTGAAGCAGTTAAACGAGCATTAACGAGAGAGAAAGCTTTTCATTATGACATCATAAAAGAGCGACGAAAAAACAATTTGCTACGTGACTAGTATTTCAAAGTAATAATGTAGCAAAACTCAACAAAATAAAAAGTAAACATCAAACAAAATGGTCGTCCTCGTGGCGCAGTGGTTAGAGCGTCTGCTCTAGAGTCGCGAAGTAAGGAGTTGATCCTTACGTCGCGGGTTCGAATCCCACTGTGGGACGTGGAGACAGGTCCTTCAGATGAGACTGTATAAACCGAGGTCCCGTGTCGCAGTAGGTGCTGGCACAGATCCCTCCCTGCTCAATGGCTCTGATTGCCGAGTATAGGACAAACTTTGCAGCTCTCCACCGGCAAGTGGCTGCGTCTCCATATGAGTGAAAAATTCTCGAGGGGCGTTAAACAATATACAATCAATCAATCAAACAAACAAAATGCATAGATTGCAATAGAATGGGAATAACTACTAGTATCTTCTTATTTGATCCGTTTATGCTGATTTAAGGTCGTCAAGATCTAGTAAATGACTTTAGACTAATTTTTTGGTGCTAGATCCATTATGACGTCATAATCAGTTTTAACTTTCTTTTTCCTGTACTTTACGGCTTTAGCAGAATTATGTAGCAGATGTGGTATTTTCATGGCATTCAATTTAAAATCATATGAAAAGTTTTCCCGATCCAACATACTTAATAGAGTGCGGTTAAATCTCTCGCACATCCCATTGCCTTATGGGTGGTATGATGTTGTGCGGCATTTCTTGGTACCCGTTAGTTCACATAGTTTCTTAATTATTTTTTACTAAAAATTGACTCCCTAGTCTGAATGTATTCTTTCTGACAGTCCATACTGTACTATGAAATCGCTGTACAGGGCCTCAGCTGTTGTTCTTGCTGTTTGGTTGGAATAGCCTGTGAGAATCGAATGAAATGGTGTGTATTGACTATTATATTCTGCTGTCCTCCCTTTGATGGTTCTGGGGTGAGGTAGTCAATGCAGCCCAGTTCCAATGGTGCTGATGTTTTTATACTTACCAGTGGGGCTCTATGGTTTGTCAATGATTTCCGTCTTATACATCTTCCACAATGGTCAATCCATTCCTCAACATCCTTCATACCTGGCCAATAAAAGCGGTCTCGAAGAAGACAGAGTATTCTGTCTTTTCCCTGATGACCAGCATCATTGTGGAATGTCTTGATTATGTTTGGCACCAAAGCTGAAGGAAGTACGAGTTGTTTCTTTGATTTCTCATCACTATTTACAATTCTATACAGAACATCATCGATTAGGCGGAGATGGTTATACTGTCGCCGTAATGTCTTATCTCCGGTGTGAGGTTTCTCTCCATCCTTAATTACCTTGATCCAGTCCACCATTACTTTATCCTGATGCTGTGTTTTTCTCCTGTTGATTACATCTGTCGTTGGTGTTCCATCCTGTGCATCAAAATCTTCCAGATTTCTCACTACTTAGGGCGAAATAGTCAGAATGTCAACTTATGGTATCTCTCCCATAGCACTGTTGCATATAGCTCGGATGGATTCTCCGCTTATCTCTGACCTGTCTGTGGTTGGTATACGACACAATCCATCTGCGTCTGTATTGCTATTTCCTAGTTGATATTTGATGTCAAAACTGGAAAGGTAGATACATGTAGCCAGCGGTGACCAGTGACGTCCAATCTCGATGTAGTTAGAACGTAGGTCATCGGCTTATTGTCTGTCCATACAGTAAACTATTGTCCAAACAAATAGTCCCTAAACTTTTCTATCACAGCCCACTTCAATGCAACACACTCCAATTTGTGGGGTGCATAATTATTTTCCGCTTTTGTAAGTCCCCTACTGGCATAGCTGATTACTCTCTTAGTTCGGTGCTGCTCCTGATAAAGGACGACACCGAGTTCCACTTCCCGAGGCATAGGAGGAACCTGCCAAACAATCCAATAACTCCTCTATTCTGGGTAGCGCATAGCTGTCCTTCTTTCACTGTCGGTAGCTAACACATAGTCTGAGACTGGAATTTTTCTTGCACACTAATACCACTTTGAATGCAAATGGACTTCGTGATAGTCGTGTTATCCCAGTGTCTAAAAGGTGTCTGAGATTTGCTCTTACCTTATCACACGCTGACTGTGGAATATGTCTATACCGCTGTTTGAAAGGTTTCTCATTTGTTAAGTCAATCCCATATTGCACAATGTCTTTGTCCTACATCCTCATCAGTCTTTGAGAAAATATCTATGTAAGATTCTATCAGCTTAATTCCTTCCTGAAATTGAGTAGTCGAAAGGTCACTCTTTGTCATTTGCATCTTCTGCATAACCTTCTTTATGTCTGTTTCTGATTTTCAATGACTGAATCGATACGGGATGAACCACTGAAATAATTGCCCGAGAAGGTATAGCTATTGTCCTCATTGTCACATTTGAGATCTTTATATCCATTGGTCCATTTCGTTTGTACTGATAATTGATAATTCCAGGTTCAAGGTCAAAATCCTGATGATCAGCAGCTAAAGGTGATGATTGTAATATGACAGGTGTGTCGTTGTACGGCATTTCCTTATCAATGTATCCTGACACAGTGACATACGAGTTTGCCGATACAATAATAGATTTGTTCTCACCATTGCGGATCACTCCAAACCTGTCATTGTTCCTTTTAAGTAACTTCTGTCATCTACCTCTACCTCCACTTCTGTATTGTTGTCTGTGTAGTGGTTGCCATCTTTGTTCTGATTTGTCCTCATAACTATCAAGTCGACCTCAGTGCTGTTGTCCATATGGTGATTGCCATCTTTGTTCCAGCTTACCCTCATAGCCATCAGGTCTGGTGTATTTGTTTTATCATTCCTTTTAGTTCTAAGTTTGAATCTTCAGGTGTAGAGGTTATGGCTTTGCTTGGGTTTGGTTTTCTGTTAATGTGATCATTTTCCAACTCTCTTAGGGCAACCCGTAAACGATCACAGTCTTTAATTGTATCATCCTTGAGCCCCGAAATAGCATAGCGTGAAGCATTCAAGCAGTATCTTTCCTAAGTATAAGTTCTCTATCAACAGCTTTTCCTATGATTCCCTTTAACCTGCAATTCCAAATCGTTACACTCTCATCCTGCTTTTGTCTTGAGCCATAAAATTCTGCAAATAATTCCTCCCACTTATCTACACTTCCATAAATACTATCCAGGGACGAATTGACATCAAAGCAGATACTTTATCAGTTGTCCCATACTCTGAGCGACGTAATGTTCTTAGACAACATCATGACGAGAAGAATTCAGGGCATCTTGGTATTAAGAAAACATTATTTAAAATTCGCAATAGGTATTACTGGCCTGGGCTACAGCACGATGTCCGACAGTATATAGCTGGTAATGAGCTTTGTTCTAAAAGGAAGAGTGACATTGTTATCAAGTGTGCACCAATGAAGGTTGTGCATATCTTTTAGAGAGAATAGCGACAGACATTTTAGGAGAGCTAACAGTTACAAGTAATGGAAACAAATAAATTCTGGTGATTGCAGACTATTATACTAAATGGACGGAAAGTTTTGCAATTACAACAAGAGGCCCATGGGCCACAACGCTCACCTGAACCACCTCGGCCCAATTGTTCTTCAGAGGATGAAACAAAGGCACTTTTCCCCCATGAAATATGTTTACCAAGGGTAACTTATAGATTAGATTTGTGGCCTCTTTAGTAAATTAAATTCATAAAAGAGGGGAATGTTTCAACTCCAAATGAACCGTCTGTTTACTTAATTGCATTTTAGTGCAGAGGCTTTTAACAAGCTACCCCGGTATTGTTTAAATATGTTCTCATTTCTCAAGACTGCCACAGGTTTCATAAAATGATTGTATATAATTATATTCATTTTTTATGCTTACATCAATAAAAAAAATGCAGTTTTGAGGCTGTATTTAAAATTTTATTTGATTTCAAGAATTATAACAAATCTTTTGTATTATTAGAAGTAAAATGTTACATGTGCATGTACATTAGTACAGATTACAAATTGAATTTTGATACATTTTGAGTACAGTGTATATAATTTGAAATTCGACACTTAAACTTTGTGAAGAAGCTATCTTAATGAAGGAATGCCTTACTAGTGACAATTCAAGAGCACATATATATATACTAGTATTGATTTAGATAACATTTATAAATAAACTTGAGAATTAATGTTTAATGAAAAATAAAACAGCATCAAAAATTCTAACAATACAGTCATAATATGAATATTTCTTAAATATGTTGTTTACATGAAAAAAAAATAATTATCACTCAAAATAAATAATCTTTTCCAATGAAAATCGAAAAAAGGAAAGATTATGTGAGTGAATTAGAAAGGAAAAAAAAACAACATTTTAATATTACAAATCAAAATTTCTAACCTCAGATTCATGCAATATTGTTGGATAATGAAAAGAGAACTTTTTTTCTCTATTGGAAGGAATATTTGTAATTCAAATGATATAACATGTTATATTATATTTTGATAGTACAGTGTATTTTTCTTCAATATATTTCTTAAAGAGGTAGGTTTACCTCCCTTTACGGGCTGGCCATTGACCCCCTCTTTCCATACTTACCTGTCAATGACACTTATTATAAGCTTTGAAGTTCATAAAATGGCAGTCACATTTTACTTCATAATCATAAAATTCCACACAATCCATGATAGAATATGCAGAACTTTTTAATAAACTCATTATAATATATACGGAATCTGAGGTTTCACAAATAATTATTATATCTGCTGTGTTGATGACTACTACAAGCATTGTAATTCATTTACACGGGTTATTTTAAAGAAGCATGTTTTTCCAAAACAAAAAATAACTACAAAAAATATGAAATTAAAGTATAATATCAGTCTTAGATAGTTTATATTTCAGTTTTATGATATAAATAATTTTTAAAAAGTTGACTAGCATTATGACAGGAATAAACATTCAGACACATCTGAGCTTAAGTTAATTAAAAGTCCATAAAAGAAGAGATCCTGACTTCTAAAATCACAGAAGCCATATGTCTGAGAAATATCAAAATCACATGGCTATTATATAGTGTTACAGCTAGCTTATAGCAATGTCCGAACCACAGCTAGCTTATAGCAATGTTAAAATTACAGCCAATGGCACAGTCCAAATCATGTCACTACCACGAGTCAAAACTGTGCAAATTTAAATTCCAGTAAGAGTCTCCTTCAATGTTACTATTATAATCGTGTTGATCCTTGATTGTAATTTCAGTATAAAATCTAATTACCACACAATTCATTATATATAGTCTTGTTTAAAAGATTGAATATATTAATTAAAGTATACAAGTATGATATTATTACATCAAATGGAATGGACATTTTGCAACAAGAAGTGGATATCAAATTGTTTTATCAACAATTCATATTTCCTATTCTATATGAAAACAAGGCAATAAACTGCTGAATGAAATTAAAGTAAAAATACAGCAATATGTCAAATTTTATCCCACATAGAGAAACACTAACTTTTAAGTTCTAATTTGGGTTACATCTTTTGAGGTCACTAGAAGACAACAAAATATTAGAATAATATACATGTACATCCCAATTAAAAAAAAATCCAGATATTCAGCAATACAAATATTACCATTGGAAATATGCAGGAATAAGCTAAGAATTGAAAAAGTAAGTCTAATTTAATCAAAGTTTTAATATAGATAGATGATGTTTTCATTAAAATAAAATCAAAAACAGAAGTCTCTGACAATACTGAAGCTCTACATACAATAAAGAAAGGTATAGACTATTAATGTAAAAAGTCATTTCATACCAACTTAAGGTAAAGGGGGAGTGAATATTTTGGAAAATAAAAAATTTCTGCCTTTGGTGGCTATGACATGCAATTTGTCAAACTGAGAATTATGCATCTTAGGATAGTCTACTAATGTTACCAAGTGTTATTGAGATGGAGTAGTGTTTTGCAAAAAAATATACAATAAGTACTGATGCAAATTAAAGAACAGCCAGATTATTATATGTGAAATGTTCCATCTAAATTGCATATGTAAAACATTTTGTAAATAATAAAATAAATAAATTTTCAAATGCTTGGTACTGCATTGCAGCCAAATAGGACTAATACACCAATGGGGAAACTATATACAGTGTAATTTAAAAAGTAGATTTAAAACAGCTTTAAGAACAGGAAAATGTCATCTTGTGTAAGTCATGTAAAATGTAATTGGTTGAAGATGATAATAAACTTAGCAATCTTAGTGTTGATTAAAAACATTATCATGACTGTGACAAATAAAGCATCAAAATGCGATGGTCATGACAATGCTTAACATGAAATTGGTACAGTATCAAGACACAAGCACATTTTTGATCACAAGCTATTTAAATCAGTTTGTATAAAATATAAGCGTATGAAATTTCTCAATTTAAAAATGTCCAAACAATATCCATAGAAATAAATGCTGGACAAAAATGGCTATGGAGAGATTCACAGGCAGACATGATGATACCAGTGTACATCCGAACAAGCAGATGGACATGTTGATTCCAGTGTATACCCCAAACTTTGTGGGGTATGACTGGAAAAAATGGGGTGAGGGAGGGGGAACTGTTTTACTTCTCCCTCTGTCGTGTTTTTATTTAGGAGCCCCATTATATTTAATGGAAACTAGTCATATCAAATGCACAAAACACTACTTTATGATCAGACCAATATGCTTCAATCACATCTGTTTCACATGGGTATATATTTGTAAAAATCAAATCAAGCTTCGAACCGAAGTCATGAGTAGTCTTACTTACAATTTGTTGACAGTTAAAGCCTTTTTCCATAAATGTTAAAAAGTCTCCATGCCCAGCAAATAAATCAAAATTAAAATCTCCCAAGAATACCAAATCTTTCTGATCATCAATCAAAGGCTTTATATGCATTTCCACGTGATGTTTGAAATTTTCCAAAGAACAAGATGGGTATTTGTAAATAACTATGACTTGTACATCTCTATATTGGTTTAATTGTATGTTTGCCTTAATAAACTCTATGGGACCATTGTTTACCTTTGAGATGCAAGTTGTCTTGTAAATGTCTTTCACATACAGTGCTGTTCCATGATGTGGACGTCTATCAGAACTATCTAAAGTCTCATGGTTAAATATTGCTGTGTATCCCTGAAGTTGATAATTTTCCACATCTGCACTAGTTAATCTTGTCTCTGAGAATCCAACTACATCTGAAGCAAGAATGTTTGGCTCATTTTGAATTTGTGGAAAGTGTTTGTGAAGAGATCTACAATTGTTAAAAGCAATCTTTAAACAATGCAAATCAACCTGGTATATTGGGACATAACAAAGTTGGAGTGGAACCTCTTTTTTCATTCTTTCCATTTCATCTACGACTTGTTCATCCATAGATAATGCCTGCTCATTGAAGTTTAGAATATGCAGATGATCAACTGACCTTACCCGACTAAGTGCTACATAGTGGATGTGGGGAATTTTTCTCACTTTTGTTTGAGACATATCAATTACAATTTCATCAACTGTGCAACCTTGGGCTTTATGAATTGTTTTTCCTGCAGCTGGCCGTAATGGAAATTGGATTCTCTGAAAAGTATTGTAATTCAAAAGAAAAGACCGTTGAACTTCAAAAATTGGTGTCCAGTTCTCAGAAATTCCATCATGAAATAAATGTCTGTATTTCCTTCGAGCAGTTTTTCCAATTCCAGAGTCAAAAAATTCTACCCAAACTATGCTTGGCCTTGATATACCTTCCATTCTCCTTTCAATTAATTGCACTTTACATGATGAACCATTTGTCAAACCATCAGATACGTCAACATTGACCGAGATATCATATATCATCCCAACAGCAAGAATCAAATTTTGCATCAAATTGGCAGTTTTGCTCACATCATCTGCTTGAAGAAGAGATCTTAGCAGTTTTTCCTTAACTTCTTTTGAATAATCTTTAATAACAGAATCAACTGAATTCACTGTGACCTTTTCTCCTCCAAGATTTTCAATCAACTGATTGTTGTATGCGTCTACTTTAGAATTCTGTGTAAAGAGATGAGGAGCATGATGTGGATAATTGTCACTTGTTTCTGTTATCATGCATCTGTGTATCACATTCATGTCTTCTGCTGTCATTGCATTGTAACGTAGGCGATTCAGAAGTTGAGCGAACTCAATATCATCTTTTTGGCGCATGATTTCGTTCAACTCAAAAATAGAAAAATGCTCCTTCCAAAGATTGCTTGCAAGAACTTGGGCATCATGATTTAAGTCTTGAAAGATCCAACGATCCATCACAGGCTTAAGTTGGAAAAAATCACCAACAGCAATGATACTTATACCACCAAATGGTTTCTTGATGCCTGTGAGAAGTTGTAGACGACTGTCAATGAGTGCTAATGATCTGTTTCCCACCATTGATATTTCATCAATAATGATTACTTTTAGGTTTTGGTACTTTGTACGAAAAGTGTTCAATTCGTCAGAGTGCAAACTTTGTTGACTTTGATTAATTTTTTGATGGAAAGCAGATGCTATAGTTGCTCCTCCGATGTTGTATGCCGCCTTGCCAGTATAAGCACACAGAAGTATTCTCATGTCATCTGGATTTTCACCTTCTGTGGAACATAGGTATCTGTGCAGAGCTTGATAAAGTGCCCTTATCAAAACGGATTTGCCAACACCAGCACCTCCAGATAAAAATGTATAAATAGGTTCTTTCTTTGTTTTGACCCACTGCACAACATGATTAAAAAATTCCCGCTGCTTTACATTTAGACTTCCTAAAAGTTGCAAGTATTCACTGTCTGATAATCTAACAGAACTGTCTTCTGTTATTTGTCTTGTTGATGGAATGCCTATATCAGAACCTAAATCATACTGTCTTTGTTCAACTGGTCTCTCAGGATTAAATGGGACAAAGTTCTCAGATTCACGAGATCCTTCATTTTCATCCTCTCCTTCTGTTTGTTGAGCATTTGGTGCCAATTCATCATAAGCTTCTGAAAAATCCTCACTTGCCATTTGCAGAGCTGCATCAAGCTGTTCGGCATTGTATTCATATTCCTTGACTTTGTTTGTTAAAAAGGATTTCCTACGATTAAAGGATTTCTCAAATGAGTCACTTCCAGATATTAGATCAACCGATTCAACTCTCCAAGGCAAAAATAACATAAGCTTTTCTCTGTAGTAGTTTTCTGGATCCGTTTTGATATTAAAACGCACATATCTAATTACCCTAGGTACTTTTCGTCGTCTAATTTTTATGCCGTTTCTCAAAGTAACAAGTGTATCACTTTCACCAAAGTCAAGATCTGAATCATTCTCTTCCTCATCATTTGACATATTGTTCTTATCATCATCATCATCGTTCACTTCCTTTTCAATCAACTCCTTTTCATCATCTTTTGGGAATACAACATCTAGTTGTGATACATAATCAGCTAAACACCAGTTTTCAAGCTGTTTTGGGCGTTTTGCATACCGTTTAATTATATTGCTACATTCCACATCTGTAGAATTTGGTGTCAATTTTTCTAATTCTGCATCTGTTTTGATGAGAATAACTCGGTCATCTGATGGACTTGTGTTGATAAAAACTACATCTCTTGATGCTTTTGTCATTGGCATTTGTAACACTAAATATGCTGCTTCCTGTGCTCCAACTTCAACACTGTTGAGAAAATGGTTTCCAATGTGGCGCACCTGTCTTTTAATGTCAAGATTTCCTTCTCTAGCTTCCTTTGCTGCTCTGCTTAGTAAATCACTCATCCCTCTTTGAGATTTACTTATGTAAGAAACAATGTACATAGCACAAGCATATGGGTCCAAAATATACTGTATATCGATGTTAGCTCTCCAAGCATCAAGAACAACACTGTTGTAAGAGTTGACCCTCATATCACATGGCTTTCTCTCTAGAAAAACCTTTGGACCTCTCAGTGAACTTCTAATGCATTTAATGTAATCTTCCTCAGATATCTTTAACACAGTGCTTAGGAGTTCCTTGTAGGACAAATCGCATCCATTTTTCATATCATTTAACTGTTTCTGAATTTCATCATACATTTTCCTATATTTGTCTACCTCACATTCAAGTGGCTCCAAAGTCAAGGTCTTTTCAAGAGGAGGAAGGGGAAAACCAAATCTGCATACAGCTTTACTTCTCTTTTTACATGTTTGTGAATGTTTGTGTACTTGTAAGCTAGTCAAATCATCTTCATTCTTTTCACATTTCAAGTAATTATCTACATAATTCACTACCTCTTGTTCATTATTTTCATGATATTTTGGTGCATTTTCTATCCAAACAATCATATGAACATGTGGTGACCCTCTTTGCTGAAATTCAATTCTATAAAAGAAGTCTTTCACAACACCAATTGGATGGTGGTCACTTCTCAATACTGAATTCATGAACATACGGAATCTATGATCAAAGTATCTAGTGCATGTAATAGGATCCTTCTGTACTAGTTTTGATTTTTCAAACCAAGTCATGTTGTCGATTTCTTCATCAGTGTATTCCTTTCCATCATTTAACACTCCAAGTGCTCTAATGAGATCATTCCATCTTGTATCTGCAGCAGACAGAGACATAAACCATGTTGGTAAACCCAATTGTCTTATCATTGCAAATACATCCTTTTTTCTTGTTTCAAGATATGCAGGTGAATTTCGTAACTGTCTAAACACAAAAAAACCTTCATCATGTCTAACAAGGCTATTCACATGTTCAGGATTTTTAATTTCATTTGCTGTGATAGATCTTCCTTTGGTTTTGCATTTCCGAAGAGCCAGGTTGCATTTATCTGTAACTTGTTTCATTTGTATTTTTTTCAACTTAAAAAACAAATTTGGAACAGACTGGGCTGCACGTCTATCAACACTTCTCAATTCCCATTTAGCTATATCTGCATACGAGACACGTACTTGTCTTTCATCGTCTTGTAATCTTCCCTTTCCACAAAATATTGTAGGAAATGATAAATATTCTGCAATCTGATCTTGATATAAACTAAGGGGGCGTTGACCTTCTCCTGGAGCAAAGGTGTAAATCTGATTCATGTCTCGTGAAGCATCATCTAAAAGAGTATCACAATTACCATCTCTACCAACTCCGTCTACTTCACAATACTCATCGTCATCATTGTCTTCGTCGGTCTCAAGATTACTAGTACTTTGATCTCTTTTTGCTTGTGTTTGCACTAGTTCTTGAACAATTTCATTTGCAGAAGATGTGATTTCTTGAAACCAGCTATCATCAACATTAATGTTTGCATTCTTGTAAAAGTCACTGTTGTTCAAAAGCCAATGTAATGCAATCAGTACTTTTGTTGGTCGTACATTTTCATGATAATCACATTTTTGGTAAGACAACTTTTTTTTCAACTTAACAGGAATTGTGATATTTTCATCCATCTTTCTAGGCAAGCTATTAACAGTAGGTTGAATATCTACAGGAACATTCACAACATTTCCTTTGACAGAATATTGTCCACCTCTTGGCAACTCCCTAATCTGCATAAAGGGGATTCGAAGTGATATGAGTCTCTCTTCTAATGAAAATAAGTCTAATTCTCTTGGCTTGGGAGGCCATATCATACCATTGAGAACAGATAGCTTTGGGATTTTTCCTTCTCTAACTGAAGAATAGCAAGTCTTACAAATCCATTCTGCATTATCAACAGAAGTAATACAAGTAAGATATTTGCTTTTACTTGTGTCATCAAGTTTAGTATTTTCTACTTTTAAAACACTTTCTTTAAACCATGTTTGATGACAACATGAGCACACAAAAACTGGACCATGCTTAATCTGTTCATGAAAATTGTGAATGCAATCCTGTACATTTATTCCAAACTGTCTTTGTCTAATTCTTTCATTTTCCTTGTTGCAATATTCTTTATTCTTTCTTTTTTCTCCTTTTCTTTGTTTATCGTCCAACCTCTCATTTTGCCTGTACGAACAATCACTGCGTTTAGTTTGCTTCTTTATTCGTTCTTTTTCAAGAACAAGAGGATCTTCCCTACTCTTGCTTTTTGAAATTCTATTTCCTTCATTTTCTTTTTGTTTTACTTCACAATCTAATCTTTTCAACTTTCTTGCAGTCTTGTCAAGTTTTCTTTCTTTCTCTCTTACTTCATCATTCTGTCTTTTAATTTTCCTTGCAGTTGTTTCCCTTTTGTTCTCCTTGTCTTTAACATCATAATTTTGTCGTTTTAATTTTCTTGCAGATTTATCCAGTTCTTTTTCTTTTTCCCTCACTTCATCATTTTGTCTTTTAGTTTTCCTTGCAGTTGTTTCCCTTTTGTTCTCCTTGTCTTTAACATCATAATTTTGTCGTTTTAATTTTCTTGCAGATCTATCCAGTTCTTTTTCTCTTTCTCTTGATTCAACATTTTGACGTTTTAATTTTCTTGCAGATTTATCCAGTTCTTTTTCTTTTTCCCTCACTTCATCATTTTGTCTTTTAGTTTTCCTTGCAGTTGTTTCCCTTTTGTTCTCCTTGTCTTTAACATCATAATTTTGTCGTTTTAATTTTCTTGCAGTTTTATCCAGTTCTTTTTCTCTTCCTCTTGATTCAACATTTTGACGTTTTAATTTTCTTGCAGATTTATCCAGTTCTTTTTCTTTTTCCCTCACTTCATCATTTTGTCTTTTAATTTTCCTTGCAGTTGTTTCCCTTTTGTTCTCCTTGTCTTTAACATCATAATTTTGTCGTTTTAATTTTCTTGCAGTTTTATCCAGTTCTTTTTCTCTTTCTCTTGATTCAACATTTTGTCGCATTAATTTTCTTGCAGTTTTATCCAGTTCTTTTTCTCTTTCTCTTGATTCAACATTTTGTCGCTTTAATTTTCTTGCAGATTTATCCAGTTCTTTTTCTCTTTCTCTTGATTCAACATTATGACGTTTTAATTTTCTCTTATCTCTCTCTCTTTTTCTCTCACTTCAACACTTTGTCGACTCATTTTCTTTGTGTTAGCATCTCTTTGTCTTTCAATGTGTTTAAATTGTTCATTTTGTCTCTTTTTCTTCATGTATTCTCTCATATAGGTTTTCCTGTGATAATCTTGTGATTCTGAATTTGTCGCTTTTAGCTTTTCATCCATTCTGTAATATCTTTTCTGTAATGGATCATTTTCTGGAAAGCTATGGTACAATGTTGCAATTGAGATGGGTAAAATTTCAAACTGCACTGCAAGATCAATATGCATACTGTTATACATGCTGTACATAAAAGACACTAAATCATCAATACTCCTGTTAAGCACTAGTACAGATTTACCATCACAAGAAGACATGCCATCACTGTCATGAGAATGTGAGTCAAAGAAGTAATACTCACTGTCCGACACTTTATATACAGCAGAACAAATGGCTCCTATCATTATCAGTAAATAACTTGAAACTTGAAATGCCTCTTCTAAAGCCTGATGCAATGTTTTAACCTGCCTGTTTTGTTCTTCCAAGATAACCAATCCCCAAATGGTTTCAAATTTTTGAATAACATGATGATTTTCTCCCATTTCAATGTTTATTGGCAATTCATCAAAATTTAAAAGTTTGTTGAAAAACTCTCCCCTTTGTTGCAAACTTTTGACAGTCTTTACATAAATTTGGTCTCCTGATACTAAAGTTCTATCTATAAATTCTGATGTAAATGAAAATCCTTCATAACATTTTGTCAGCATGGTAAGAGCATTGCAAGTACACTGACTACCTCTTGAGAATGATGAAAATCTAGTGTCCCCTTGATGGAATGTCCCAAATACTATTTTTCTAGTACATACCTGGTCATTTTCAGAAACACTGTGCAATGTTTTTTCTCCAACTATCACACTAGTAGTCTGCAAAGATTCAGTGGTCAAGGTTTTGTTCACTAAACTTGTTTCAGCAATTTCATTTTGCAAATTCATTTCATCAGATTCATGAAGCAGATCTTTTGCACAAACTTCACTCTGAGCATTTGTTTCAGAAATTTCATTCAGCATACTTGTCTCACAAATTTCATTCAGCAGATTTGTTTCACATAGTTCATTTGCCAGATTCATATCACAAAGTTCATTGAGCAGATTCATTTCACAAGTTTTTTGGTTTTCCTGTTTTTTTTGTAACCTGAGGGCAGGCTCCTCAGGGTCAACATTGGTTTTACTGTTTTTCACGAGGCCAGTCTCCTCAGTCATTCTAATGTCATACATTGTTTTACTGTTTTTTAAGAGGCCAGTCTCCTCAGTCAAGTCCAGGTCAGACATTGTTTTACTGTTTTTCATGAGGCCAGTCTCCTCAGTCCTGTCAGTCTGTAACTCTTTCTTGGCACTGCTCTTCTTCCAGTACTTCTTACGAGGCATCTACAAAAATACATCTTTGAGATTACAACAAAATAGTCACAATTATTTTCAAACCATTAAAATATGTTCACAAATAACACATGGCTATGTACGACTTGAAATAATCTTTATAATGTAATCAATTCCTCATAAATTTTTAGCCAGAAGAAAAGTTTCTCTGAACTTTATAGATATAGCATTTCACAGTACAATATTTTACAAAAATAAAAACTATTGTGAATAGATTCCCTTCTCATATAAACTCATCTAATTAAATAAAAATGTTACATCCCTCCCAAATCATGACAAAAAATGTTGAAATATTTTTATTTTACCTTCCCAATTTGATACAAGTTTTATATTGTTATATATATAAAAGTTTCCTGAAACTTATCTTGTAAATTTTAAATGCTTGCCCTTTAATATCACCTAATGACATTTAATACTAGAACTGTCCAAACGGGACAAAATACCCCTGCTGGGTTTTTCAGAAGTAAGTTTTTCCATAATAAAGATATGTATCACACATTAATTACAAAATTTTTCTTCCAGTGACCTTGAACTCCCCCAAATGACCTTGGGTCAAGGTCATGACACAGCCTTGGGTCATTGGCAATCTTTGCTTGAAATGAGAAGCTACCAAGTTTATCCATAAGAAAGATAAGGACCGGACACAAATTATGAAATTTTTCTTCCAGTGACCTTGAACTTCCCCAAGGTCATGACACACCCTTAGGTCATTGGCAATCTTTGTGTGAAATGAAAACCTACCTATTTTATCCATAAGAAAGATATGGACCGGACACGAATTATGAAATTTTTCTTCCAGTGACCTTGAAGTTCCCAAAATGACCTTGGGTCAAGGTCATGACACACCCTTAGGTCATGGGCAATCTTTGAGTGGAGTAGATTCTAATGTCCCTCCATAAAAAAGAAATGGACCGTACATCTTTGCACAGACAGCTAGACTGACGGACATACAAAAGGACAAGGTGATTCCTATACATGTATACCCCCCAAACTTCGTTTGCCGGGGATATAAAAAATTATATTCTATGGTAACAAACAATATAAGCTAAAATTTACATTTTGATACATTTCCGAGTACAACAATTGGGTGTGACCATCATTTCCAAAGTCCTATTGAATCTCATTGTAAAAGCCAAGGTTACATTTTCTTTCACTTTGTTCTTAATGACATCACATTTACATGCACTGTAAGGTTGCTTATGACCATAAAATTAGATGTTATTGTTAAACACTTTTGTGCCTGATGGCAACAATATATAAGCATATAGTTTAAAGTCAAGGTCACAAGGTCGTTGACCTTTACATCATTTGTATGAACTTATAATATTAATAAAGTATGCATACCAAATATGAAGTCTACATCTCCTATGGTTAGAAAGTTATGGCAAAAGATCAAAAAGGTTAAGAATCCTATTTAGTAAAGGGGGTGAATGAGGCTTATTGTTTTCTTAACTGAATTTCTTCATATTACTACATAAGCCTTTCACTTAAAGGTACTTGGACACAGATCTGAAGTTATTATTTTCTCTATAATATTACGAATTATATATTTTAATAGCAATTCACACAAAAATTAATTAAAAATCTTATTTCGTTTAAAAGATATTGAAATTTCAAAATTTTCGGCGGGTTTGATTGACATATCGTTGCACTCTCACAAATTTGATTTTATTCTTAATCCTTAGGGAAAGTGGTAATCTCGTTTTGTATAAATGAAAAATATTAATACTATAATCCAGAAAATTCAGAGTAGACACGTTTGAAAGCAAAACAAACACACAATATGTTGCAAGTCCGTGCAGTTGTGGTAAGCAGACTGTGACGATTGAACGCACCCGGTGAATTCTAAATATAAACAATAACAGAACTCGAGCCCTGTTTACAAAAACTGTGTACATAACACGAGTGTGCTCGATTTGCTAAACTCTGCACGCATCTCTTAGTTCGGAATGACGAAACTTGTGAAAGTGTTTTGCTTTCCAACATTTCTACTCTGAATAAAATTATTTTTCTTGATAAAAGTTTTAATATTTCTCATTAAAACACATCAAATTGCCACTTTTCCTAAGGATTAAGAATAAAGTTAAAATATGTGAAAGTGCAAGGATGTGTCAACCAAACCCGCCAAAAAATTTTAAGTTTTAATAACTTTTAAACGAAATAAGACTTTTGATTAATTTTTGTGTGAAATGCTATTAAAATATATAATTCGTGATATGCTACAGAAAAAATGAGAAAATATTAACTTCAAATCTGTGTCCAAGTACCTTTAAAATTTTCTAAAGTGAAAACTTACACAACAAAAAAGTTGGACTCTTTTCTCTCTCTCTTATAATATACCTGTAGAACTGTAGCTCTCAAAAAAAAATTATTGACATGCCGGAGAGCTATAGTGCCACCTATTGGAAAAAAACAGCATACGGTATTTATTGCACACAAAAAGTCGCGCTGGGTTCTTGATCAATTCTTCTCAAGTCTTACATCAATTGTAAAAAGGCTAGATTTCAAAAAAATTTCTTACCCCTCTATTCTTGTGGTTGACATATGTACGAAGCGCGTTGAACTGAATGATCTTGCAGACCAAAATGGCAGTATAAAAAGACGAAATTTTTGATTATATCAATTACAGGGCTAGGAGGGTATTAAACAAAAACTATAATAAATATTTTTTTGTGGAAATAGTTAAAGAATATGTTGGGAATACACGGTAAGTAAATAAATCGAATAAAAGATTTTAGTGTGCAATCTAGTTTTTTCAATGGGTGGCACTGCAATCTAATTAAAATTAGATGTTAGATCCGCTTGCATACTCGCTACACTAACATCTAACAACATCCCATTGAGGGTCACATCAGAGGTCAATTCTATCAACCAATCATATCGCCGCTCGCAAAATCATCATATATTGTTGAAGCGAATAAGTCTTGAAGTTATATTGAAATCAGACCAAAACTGTAGGAGGAGTAGCATTTTGAAAGAATTTCACAGGAATTTCTATTTTTAGTAACCACGGCAACACCGTCAATAATCGATACACAGAATTATGTACCTTAGTGTAGTCTACTTGTGTGCCAAATTATATTGAAATCAGACCAAAACTGTAGGAGGAGTAGCATTTTGAAAGAATTTCACAGAAATTTCTATTTTTAGTAACCAAGGCAACACAGTTCATCGAAATCAAAAACGGATAAACAGAATTATCTACCTTAGTGTAGTCTACTTGTGTGCCAAGTTATATTGAAATCAAACCAAAACTGTAGGAGGAGTAGCATTTTGAAAGAATTTCACAGAAATTTCTATTTTTAGTAACCACGGCAACACAGTTCATCGAAATCAAAAACTGATACAGAGAATTATGTATCTTAGTGTTGTCTACTTGTGTGCCAAGTTATATTGAAATCAGACCAAAACTGTAGGAGGAGTAGCATT